ATGTTTTCCCCGGGGGGTGGGATCACTAGCTTTAGTCACACAGCAGTCCCAAAACGGATCCTCTTGCTACCCTACCCCTACGCACCGGTCCTGGCCCAAGGCCAGCTCCTTGGTGAGGAACTCGAAGAAGCGGGCACTGTGGCTGCGATTCTCCTCTGCTGTGCCCACCACGCCAATGGAGGAGACGAACAACTGCGCGCAGGGATCCACGGAGCCGTTCAGCGCCATGGTCAGACCTGGCCGCACCGTCACGTTCACGCGCTGCAAGAGACACGAAAGTTTCGCCCAAAGCTGGAGCCGGCCAGGCTAACTCTGGGGACCTGGACGCGAACACCTAAACGCATTGTGTCCGCAGGGTCAGGGACTTGGTCACGTGTCCTCCCTGGAGGTCACGTCGGGGTCATGGCTGAGAGGGTGACAAGGGGCAGACGTGGGGAAGGGGAGTCACAAGATCATAAGACATAAATCCGCTTGGTGGGCGGATTGGAAGGGTGCCTAGGGAGAGAGTCAGGGTCGCTGTGGGGAAGGCGGGGCAGAGACAGAGCCGGACCCCTGGTGCACCAACCTCCCCTCGCCCCGTGCTCCCTGGCCCACGCTCACGTCCTCAGGTTTGCCCAGGATGGCGGCAGCGGCCGCGCAGAGCCGTTTCTCCAGCCCTGCGGGCACTCGGTTGGCGGGCAAGTTCGTGTCCAGCTCCAAGAACGGCGTATTCCGCAGGGAAGCGCTAGCAGCCTTGGAAGGTAAAGAACCCTGCCAAGGCTCGCAGGCGGGAGAACTAGGGCGGGCGCCACGTAAACCAGGTCCCCATTGGCTGAGCGGAGACTCAACGCTCCCTGATTGGCTGTCGAGGCTACACCCCGCTTCTGCCGACAACAGTCACGTGCTTTGGCTCAGCTTTCCGGAAGTCCTTTCGCCCAGCCCCGCCCACCGCGGCTCGGCTCGGCTCCAGCTCCCGTCGAATGGACAGAGATTTTTCTCTCCTCTGGCTTTCAGCATTGTGGTCTCCTGGTTCCTAGCCCATATTCGGATAGAGGTCTGAACACCCCTCAAACACAAACACACTTGTAGGGGCCACCCCCAGGCTCGACCCTAATAACCATCCCCACGGGAGTTATAAGATTTTTTTTGATTTTTTTTTAATGTAAGTTGCCTTTTCAAAGTCAGGCAATTTCATGTTCAGTGTGAAATAGAGACCTGATGACGTGTGTGGTCAGGGCTGGAAGAGAGAGACCCTCGCTACAAAGTCATCTACCTTTGTAGCTTCTTGTGCCGGTGGTGAGCCACTACTACTGGGATGACAAAAGGTGTTTAAATAATGTGGAAATCGGGCCGGGCGCGGTGGCTTATCCCAGCACTTTGGGAGGCCGAGGTGAGAGGATTGCCTGAGTTCATCTCTACAATAAATCAGAAAATTAGCTAGGTGTGGTGGTGCATGTGTGTAATTCCAGCTACTTGGAAAACTGAGGCTGAAGGATCACCTGAGCACAGTAGGTCGAGGCTGTGGTGGCTGTGAGCATGTCACTGCATTGCAGCCTGGGCAATAGAGTGAGACTCCAACTCAAAATAAATAAGTAAGTAAAAGTAAGTAAATAAAGTGGAAATCTGTTAGTGTGGCTAAACATGAGTCTTTCATTGGTGTTGTAAAATTTTCTGAATTGTAATTTCAAATATCACTAAAATTGGGTAAATATGTACAACTTCAATTACACATATAGACTTCTATATAAGTGTGCATATTAAAAGAGCCACTATGGAAAGGCAGGGTGGCCAAGAGTCTCTGTCATAATCTTGTCCCGTGAGCAGCTTATTTATTAGATAAGAGAGATATTAGAGGGTCTGAGACACAGGACAGGTAAGTTGTGACAATCTTAAGGGGAGAAGACAGGAATAGCTGACAAGTCTGGGACCCACTGTGGGGACTGGAGAAGAGAAGCCTGTGGTCAGGGTAATGAATAGGCCTGGGAGAGCAAGGCTGCTCTGCAGCACCTGGGGGGCCAGGAAATACCCTGCAAGGATGTTCATGAACTAGCCTTGCATCCCACCTGTGGGAGACTGCATCACCCCAGAGTGTTGCAGGCAGACCTAGACCATTCTTGATTCAGATTCCTCTTTCTTTTAGTTTTAATTTTTTAAATAAAATATAGAGAAGAGGTCTTGCTATATTGCCCAGGCTGGTCTCAAATTCCTGGGCTCAGATAATCCTGTCTCCTCTGCCTCCCAAAATGCTGGATTTTTTCAGGCATGAGCCACTGCACCTAGTCATCCTAGCCATGACTCAGACATCTCTTCACCAGGTTACCCCCTATATGTTTAGTTTCTTTCTTTTTCTTGTATAACAAAACACTAAGTTTTATTAAAGTCCTACTGCTTGTTTCTTTACCACTGATTTCTGGATGACACCTCTCATGTACTTTGAGTTGCTTTTCCCCCTAAAATCACCCCCTATCTGTGATACATGCTTGGCCCAGGAGGCATGGAGCCTGCTCCCTACTGGGACTGAGGAAGAAAAACACTGGGACTGAAAGTCCAGAGGCATCAACTAACCTGGACTGGGGCTGGGGAGATCAGGGAAGTCTCCATGGAGAAGTGACATGGTGCCAAATGCCAAAAAACCCAGAGGAACACTCGGCGAAGAAGGTGAGGAGACCAAGGTTGGAGGCCAGAGAGGAATCTGAAATGTGTGCAGCCAGTGGAGTCACCCTGGAGGAGATGAGGCAAGGCAAGGAACGTTGCATTGAATGCAACGTTCAATGACTTGTACTTTAACCTCTGGGCAACAAGGAACCAACCACACAGTTTCACACAGAAGAGGGACAGGGTCAAATAAGTGTTTACTAAAACTTTTTCCAGAGGTCACAGGGAAGCTGGAATGGAAGGGTAAAAGTGGGATGGGGAGACAAAAAGAACACAACCATGATGCTGGAGGTAACATTAGACCACCACAGCCTGCGTGGACATGTCTTCCTTATAGCCAGGGAGTTAGGCAGCTCCATCTAGTTATTCTGCCAACACAGGATACCATTCATGGCAACAAAACCTTCATTAAGGGCCCCAGCCTCTCCTTTGTGGCAGGAACTGCTGGAGGCAAGCCCTTGGCCTTCAGGATAGCTTCATGGGCCTCCTGGAAGAGGTCTTCCCTCACCACAGCCACCACACGCTGGCGCCACATGGCCAGCTTGGGTCGACTTTCAAAGACTTTGCAGTCAGTGCTGACAGGCTATGGGAAGAGTGAGACAAGCAGAAGGGCTGGGCACTCCCAAGCACAAGGCAGCATAATCTGCCTTAGGGGGTTCCCTGACTAGATTTTCCCTCCTCTACCATGTGTGTAATGGGCTGGGGGGTGGCTCTCCTAGCGGACACCAAGAAGCTCCACAGCATCCCTGTGGTGAGGGATGTAAAGTCTCATTTTATAGATGGGGACACTGAGTCTCAGAGGGGAAGTAACTCACCTACATTCCCATAGCCAGGAAGGACAGTGTGAGCTGGGGTGTCAGCTCCCTCCCTAGATACCAAACTGCCCAGTGGGCCACTCCACCCCATAGCACTCACATGCATCAGCTCTGTGATGGCCACCAAGTCAGCTATGGAGATATGGGACCCAGTAAGGAAGACTTGATCCCGCAGGAACTTGTCCTCAAGCAGCTGTCCAGCTCAGTCAAAGTGACTGCCAACATCTCAGGGGGCACCAATTCGCCCAGGAACACGGGGAATATCAGCCGGTAGGCCAGCAAGCAGAGAGGGGGTCAGGGTCTGCCCAAAGCCCACCCTGTCTCTGACCTTCATCCCATCCTCACCAGTCCTTCAGATTTCTCCTCACCTCTGCCTACCTCTTCCCACCCTCGGTCACCAGGATCCTTCATTTCCTACTCAAACAGGGACAGCCTCCACCTCCTCCTTGGTCCTCACTCAGGGCAGTCAGTGGGATCCTTCTGCAATTCCAGTCTGCTCATACTCTTTCCTGCTAAAGTCTTCCATGTCTCCCTTCTGCCCTCATAACAAAGACCTCAAAATGAAGCCCTCCCATTCCACCTCCTACTGTCCCAGTCTTCTCAAGTGGGAATGTATGTGCTCATTCCCCTGGAATCTGGTTAAAATGCATATACCCAATTAGTAGGTCAAGGTGGGCTTGAGACTCTACATTTCCAGCAAGCTCCCTGGTGTTGCTGATACTCCTGGTCCATGAACCACACTTTGAGTAGCAAAGGTCGATAATCACTCAGTCCTCAAATGCACCAGGCTCCTTCCCCCACCAGCTTGAGAGGGCTCTGCCCTCAGCCCCTAGAGGCTCAAGGGAGGCACAGTTAAGGCATGGAAACCTACACATTGCCAAAGAACCCTCTAGAGCTGTGATACTATCCCTGCAGCAGGGCATAAGAAAGCCTGTGTCATGCTCCCTCATAACACAGGGCACTGGCTATGTGCCAGGCACTGTGAACCCACGCTGCAAACATTAGAGTACACATGTCAAGCGTGTGTGGGGTTTGTTTTTGTTTGGTTTCTTTTTCTTTCTTTTTTTTGGATTACTACACCCAGTTTGTATGATGGATTTCTTAAAGCATCTTAAAGAATTCTGGGCCAGGCATGGTGGCTCATAACTGTAATCCTAGCACCTTGGGAGGCCAAGGCAGGAGGATTACTTGAGCCAGGAATTTGAGACCAGCCAAGGCAACATAGCAAGAGACCTTGTCTCTACCAAAAAAAACACTTTAAAATTAGCCAGGTGGTGACATATGCCTGTAGTCTCAGCTACACAGGAGGCTGAGGCAGAAGGATCGCCTGAGCCCAGGAAGTCAAGGCTGCGGTGAGCCATGATCATGCCACTGTATTCTAGCCTGGATGACAGAGTGAGCCCTTAACTCAAAAGATAAAAGAAAAAAAAGTGTTACTTTTTTCTAACATATCTTTACCAAGATCTGCTCCAGTTTCTTGCTTGTTTTACCTTTAATCCTTCTCCCCCTCCCCCTTTTGAGACAGGGTCTAGTTCTGTCACCCAGGAATCAAGGCACATTGAGGGAAGCACTCCTTGACTCTGTGCCTTGGTTTCCCCTTGGAGAAATAAGTTGGCTGGATCAGTCTCTGGCATTCCTGAGTCTGGTGTCCCTGTCCCCCGTGGCTCACCTTCTGCCACATGGCCTGGGAGCAGATCCTCCACAGGGTTGTGTGCTGCCACGACAGGTACTCATCCACATGGGCGCAGGCCTGCAAGTCCTGGGGGTACCAGTCGTCAGGGGCTTTGTACTTACAGCTCAGATATAGCAAGATGGCCACACTGGGAGGACACAGCAGGAGTAGAAGACATGCCTTGATCACTCTTCATTCATTTTGTGGGGGCATTTTCACTATCTCCATGATTCAGAGCAGAAATGTAAGGCTCAGAGAGGTTAGGTAACTGCCCACGGTCACACAGCTCTACCTTGGGCCAGCCTATCATCTGAGCTAAGGACAGCAAGTAAGAAGCAAAATGGCATGAATTTCAGAAGGGGCCAGGAGCTCAGGGAAGGCTTCCAGGAAGAAGGGGTACCCAATGTGAGTCTTGAAGGAAAAAAGCAACTTGGATGCCACTCTTCAACATATCCCAAGCATGGACAGTGCCATGAGCAAGGCCACTGCCTCCTGACATTCTCCTAGGGCTGAGCAAAGTCCTCCTAAGGGACATGAGGGCAGTGCTTTCCACCCTGTCCCCCCTCACCTCTACCTGCCCAAAGCCTCCAGTCCCTTCCCCCAGGAAGTCTTACCCTGGCCTCGCTTCCCATCGTGTCTGGCCTGTGCAGCCTGAGCCCCAGAGCTCATCACACCCCATAGGGATTGGCTGTCCAGCGACCACAGGCTCTGGAGCCAGATGGCTCTGTGATACAGCTCTAACATGGGGCACTATGTGATCGCAGTACAGGATACCTCCATTCAGCCACCAACCAGGCTGACCTTGGCTCCCATCTGTCCCACCCACTTTTAACCCTTCAGCAAACCCTGCAGTTCGACTTTCAAGAACGGTCAGAACTGACAACTCCCACCATGTGCCACCACCACTACCATGAGGTCCCAGCACCAGATACCAGGTGACCACAGCAGCCTTCTCTCCCCTGCCAGAGGGATGCTTTAAAATATGTCAGATCACAGCTCTCTTTTGCTTAAAATGCTCCAATGGCCCCATCCACCTGTGGCAAGAACGCAAGC